AAGTCTTTTTGTCTAATCCATAATATTATGGTGGTTGGCGGCGTCTACGTTGTTAATCTATTTCTTACGTAATGGATTGTATAAATAAGAAATAGAACTCTTTAGAAGTTGACATTATAGATTACCTTTCGTATTCCTGGTTGCTAAATTGCTGTAATATACAATTAATTATATTAATTAGATGACAAAATTTCTGAGTTCATATTGATTAGTTACGTGGTGGTGGTGGGGCTTTGCTACTCTGCCTACTGAATTCACCATACCGATATGACTTCCTTCAATGTTGTACATATATCACCTTGCTAATAACCAAGAGATCAGATAATAAGATTTCTACCGACCGCCTCCGACCAGTTTATAAGAATAATGAGTCCAAATGGCGTAGCAAATTACAGATATAATCAATAAGGTTACGTAATTGCTCTACAGCTAATTGTACATAAATTTCTGAGTGTCAAGGCGTAGGTAGTTAGTGAAAAGAAAAAATCAATACTGCGGTAAAATAACTTTGTAAATTGATGGAATCAACTAAGTTAAGCTATTCAAAGTTACTCTGTCCTCCTTCGTATTTCCTGTCTACATCACTAAGTAACATTTAATAGTATGTGGTGTTGGCATTTGGATTGTATGTTTCAGTCCCCTCGTATGTAATATGGACTTTTGTCATTGTGAGGCGTACCAATACGCTATGTGAAGTGCTAGTCATCTCATTGGCTACAGTGCACTTGGAGTTTTCACCTATTTTAGATCCCGATTGGTTGGAGTCCTTCTCCAGCCTCTCATTACCAATGAATCAACGACGATTTTCTAGTGTAGACGTTTTATTACGAACTGAAGTCAGTTAGATAAAGCACTGCGGGTGGATAGGTGGGTATCTAACGACCGTTTCGTCCTACTTCTGGACTCCTCAAAAGTAGATACTCCTGACTGTTCTATTGATGTGGGACTCAGAATCTTCAGGTTGCTGGGATGGCCAGTAGGGACGAAATCTTATTATCCACGAATTCTAATTTCTGACGATTTGTGATATTCACACCCACTCTGCCAATATGATCAACCAATACCGTTACTGAGTATTTGTCCTCAAATACGACTCCGTCGACCCCACTGGTCAAAATTTATCTTTAGAATTCTGGGAACACTGTTTTGATTTCATGTTGTTTCAAGGATTGACATTAGTTTTTGCTGTAGTTGTGTTCTCTGAGATTTCATTGCCCCCTACTAGGCAACATCCTCGACGCTTACTTCAATTTGAAGTGAGCTTTTAACATCCTGCATGAGTTTATTAGTCATCTCTCCTGGTCGCTGACCTTGAACGTCGTGATTGGTTATTTTTGTGTGTTTTCACATCTTCTAGTCTACTTGTATTTGGTATCAAGTGTTTCCTTGACCTGAAGTTTAAATTTTTGTTCATATGATTTCCTTTTTATGAATTGGTAAATCTTATGTATGTGTCAATGTGTCTATTAATTGCCTATTCACTTGAATACTGTCTATCTGCTTTCGACATAGAACTTTGCACCATAGTGCGGAAGTTCAAGTCGCCACACTCCCTCCTTGTAGCACACAAAGCGAGAGAAGAAAGTAGAAGAAATGCATAATATAGACAGTAAATAGAGTTGTGAGACAAAGGAATAGTAATAACGAGGAACAAAACAGTTTCATTGGAAATCATAAGTCACAAGGAGTGGATGCATCAGCGCCAGCCATTGAGAACGATTTTGAGCCATGTCACCAATTGTTTCGAACTATTGGTTTTTGCTATCCCGAGGACCCCAACCAGGAAGTCTACACCTTCCTACGTGGCTGGCTTTAACTAACTGTTGTGGATTTCATCGACTGGTGCGATGTTTTGGTTTGACCTCCGCTAGCCTTTTTACAGCCTGACCCTATATCCGCTAACATTGCCCATTACCGAGGAAGGCGATGACTAGGCATACATACGTAACACATGTCCTAACCATCTCAGTCTTTGTAACTTCACGACTTCGTCGATTGATTTCCCCTGTTTACCTAGAACTCAACGCCTAACCTCAATATTATTCACCTTATTATATCACTTCACACGGGAGGGAGAACGCAGGCACCTATGATCAAAGACAGCTAGCTGGCATTTCCATGTCTTCCACTCTCAGTGGCTAGGTCTCACAGCCAGCCATAAAGGAGGATGGAGCGGACTGATGAGCAGTACACCCGCCCTTTGGTCGATAGTCGAATATCTCTTCTACTAAGCCAGAGACGGCGTGAACTGGCAAATGCGAAACGAGCCCCCTGTATTCGTGCTGAGATTTCGTCAGAGATCAGCCCGTTGGCACTGGCTGATGGTACTTCCCAAATAAGTGAAGCGGTCAACGTGCTCTACCACTTCACTTCCTATTCTTAAACTGAGCGTCGCTGTAGTCCAGTCCTGTAACATCATGTTGCATTTGTTGGGAGCGAATCGCATGCTAAACATTCGTAGATTGCAGCTCAATGTGTTTAGAAGACTCTGAATTTTTTCATCGTCCTCGCCTAGAAGGACTATATCGTCTGCATATTCCAAGTCAACGAGATTATTCCCCGGTAGCAAGTCAATCCCTGAGTCGCTGAAGTCACCTAGGGTTAAGTCCATTAACACATCTATGATGAAGTTGAATAGAAAAGGGGATAATGGGCATCCTTGACGGACACCACTAGTCGTCACCAGTTCAGATGACAACTTGCCGTAAGCCCTCACCTGGCTGTATGAGTACGAATAGAGTGATGGCCTTAATCAGTGCAATGTATTTTCTCGGACTCCCTTTACAGCCAAGCATCTCCAGAGAACATCTCAATCGACAGAATCGAATGACGCCTTTAGGTCAAGAAATATAATGACTGTTGGACGCCGGTAGGAATGTCTATGTTCTAGAATCTGTCGGAGGGTGAAGATATGATCAATACACCCTCTTCCTGGTCTAAAGCCTGCCTGGCTCTCTCGTGTTTGTGCCTCCCGAGCACCACTTAGTCTACGCATGATTATTGAGCCTAAGACTTTAGATACTATATTAGTCAAGCTAATCCCTCTGTGATTATCACAGGAAGACTTGTCTCCCTTCTTGTATATCGGGATAATCAGTGACTTACACCAACCCGATCACTTGTATACTAGGCTCCAAAAAATTCTCTGGCATTCTCGGTGTTTCCTCTATCTAATATTTGAGCGCTGTCGCAGTCGAATTGATGTTTGTGGTTATTTGTATGCAGTGAGTGATATGAGAGATTGGATATCGAGTCATTTGACGGCCAGTTTATGTTCGTAAATGCAAAGCGGAAGATGAGGGGCGTCCACTCTCGTCAATGTAGTGTTTTTCACAATCGTTGCAATTTATTTTGTAGATGATGTTGGTTTTATCTTCTTTCTCTGTTGAGTCTTTTGGTTGACTCAGTGTTGAGTGGAGTGATTTTTTTGGTCTGTGTGCGACATCAATTCCTAAAGGTTTGAAGAGACTTCCAGTGATTTCTGAGATGTCATTTATACATGGTATGACGATTTCCTTTGTTCTTTCCTTTAGGAGAGGGGCGTTGATTTGGTAGGTTGGCTTGGGGGTAGATGTCGTTTGATGGAATTCTGTGGATATCCATTCTTTTGGAAGACGTCCATGAGATATTTTTCGCCAATTTTCCTCAAGGTAGAAGTGCTTCAATGAGTCCTGGCTCTCATGAATAATGTTTGTATATCACTCCTTTTGTGTGTTATTGGGTTGTTGCTGTTGTTGTAAATGGGGTATTTGGCCTGTGTCAGTTGCTTTTCTGCGTATATGAGTTTCTAAATTTTCTCCATCATATCTGGAATTGATATTTCTTAAAGAACTGTTGAAAACAAATGAAGAGTACCGGGCAGCTGTTTTGTTCTAGATTGGAACTTTTCAGTAGTCTGCACCCTTGAACGCACTGCTGGGGATCAAACCCAGTATTTTCAGCTTACTAGGTGAGCCCTTTCAGAAACACTGGGACAGCACAGATACAATGGGCTAGTTTTGCGAATGCCAGTTTACGCCGTCTCTGGCTTAGTAGACATGATATCCGCCCGGCTGTCGACCAAAGGGTGAGTGTACTGCTCATCAGTCCGCTCCGTTCTCCTTTATGGCTATGAGCGAGACCTGGCCATTGAGAGTGGAAGACATGAAAATGCCAGCTATCTGTCTTTAATCATAGGTGGCTGCGTTCTATCTCCCGTGTGTGCTGAGTGGTATAATAGGGTGAGCAATATTGAGGTTAGGGGAGAGAGGGGAAATCAATCGACGTGGCTGTGAAATTACATCGACTGAGATGGTTAGGATATATGTTACCTATACCAGGCTATCGCCTTCCTCGACAACAGGCAATGTTAGCTGACTGACAAACAATTAGGTTGGAAAAGAGCTGGTGGTGGTCAAACCAAAATATCATCTCATCAGTCAATAAAATCCACAACCAGCCAGCCACGTAGGGAGGTGTAGACTTCCTGACTGGTTGGGGTTCTCGGGTCGGTAAAGACCAATGGCTGTAGATAATTGGTGATATTGCTCAAAATCGTTCTCACCGATGGCTGGCGCAGATGCATCCAGTTTTTGTGACGTATAATTTCCGATGAAACTGTATTATTTTTCGTTATTGCTATTCCTTTGTCTTACACCTGTGTTTACTGTCTCTATTATGCATTTTTTCAACTTTCTTCTCTTGCTTTGTGTGTTACATGGAGGGAGTGTAACGACTTGAACTGGTGCACATCGATGCAAAGTTCTATGTCGAAAAAAGACAGACAGACACTGGGACAGAATTCTATTAAACCATGAAATTTAACTTCAACCGATTCTGAGTAACATGTCTTCACACCTGACATGGTAAGAGCCCGTCCTGCCACAACTGCTTACCAGAACTGGAGGAATTCTCTCCTGTAGTCAGTTCAGCTGGAGTAAATGAAATCACAAAAAGAAAAGTGGTGTCTTTCCCCTGTACTACTTGTTCTTATGCCCATCTCTTTTTTTTATTTCTTCCAGGTCCTCTTAGCTTACTTTCTTCATCAGCAAGTAATTGTAAAAAGAATGTTCTGTCGTCTAGTTCTTCAGAGATATCTGATCTATCAGACTGTCTCAGTTCCAATGATGACGATGCTGATGAAGGTAATGATGTCGAAGAACAGCAAGACTGCGAAGAAGATGGAGATGTAAAAGAAGTGACGAAATTAACTCCTTCTGAGAAGAATGTTAAACGGGTATCCGATTCACATAAAACTATTCAAAATACCAAAAATATGCATAATGAAAAGAATAAACTAGAGCCTCCTTCTAATTCTGAAGTAAAAGAACTAACGGATAACTTTGAAGGTTTGTCAATTTTTATCTTCTTATATTCACGTGCGTTTTTATTGTTTTCGTTTTTTTTCACGTTTTAATGTGATGCCTTCTATTTTCTATAGTTTAGTTTGTAAAGGTTAGTTTTGTTTTTACGAGTTGATCACGGATTGATATCAGTTAGAGAACGATTGAAAACCAACCATAGGGAGTACTGGACAGCTGCTGTTTCATCCTAGTTTAGGAGTGTTGAGCAGTAAGGGTCCACCTGAGTTCGAACCCAGGAACTTTCGGTTACAAAGCAAGCTCGTATACCATTCAGCCACTGGGACCCGATTCTATGGCTGAATGGTATACGAGCTTGCCTTGTAACTAGAAGGCCCCAGTTTCGGACTCTGGCAGCGTGTGCGTACTGCTGATGATTCCCAAACTAGGATGAAACAGCAGCTATCCAGTACTCCCTGGCTCTCAATGGCCTTCTCTATTTTATTTTCAACCTAATGATGAAGAAAAATTTCTCAAGTCTACAATACACGTTTAGAAATTTTACCCTGAAACTACGTAATTTTCGGATGGCTAATTTTTGATTCGATATTTTATCAATCCGTCTTGGTAGACAGCCACATAGCCCGGTTTTAGACCTCCCTATCAACCCATTTTCCACACAGTGGAAGTCAAAAACTAAATCTGGGTGAAACTTGCAACGAAGTTTATGAACAGCATCCATTTTGAATGATGAGCGATCTGATTGGTTGATTCAAGGCCATTTGACTTTGGTGTCTATAGTTTACTCTTGCCGAGTAATATTATTTTTTTATTGAATATTGTACCAAACGGTGAGAAATCCACACTGTTATCACATGGGTACTGTTTGGAGAATAAAACAAATTATTATTATTCTAAAATGTTTCCCTTTTCAGATTTATATCTAACGCATCAAAATTGGCATAGACGTGTACGCGTAGCGATAGCTTCAGGTGATGTGGTGATTTTACGATCTCTGTTGCCAAGGTCTAATGTCTCCAGTGTTGTAATGAGTCAAAATCATGATTCCATTGAATCAGAAATTGTTCACAATGCAAGTGGTTCTCCGACGACTACAACAACTAGTACTACTACTACTGCTACTACTACCACTACGCCGACAGCCATTACTACGACTCCCCCTCCTCCTCCGACTACTAATACGTTAACTCCCGGTGAGTAGTGTAACATTTCCAGTGTTATAATTATGAATTAGTTACTTCTTATAATTTATTTTAATCAATGTAAACATGCAAGAAGGCGTCTTGTATTTTTTGAAACAAATTGAACTTTAAAAAAATTAGACTGATCATATATACTACTGACTGTTATATAAGTAGTTGGATACCAGACGTTATCAACCCGTAAGTAGTACTCTTGTCAGTTAGCCAGATCAAAGTGATGTTAACATGCGGAGCAAGTTCGTCTTGTAACCTGATGGTCCTGGGTTCTATCCGCTACGTTGGAGAAGTCATGAATGCGTACTGATGAAGAGTCGCATACTAGGATGAAACAACTGACTGTCCAGCACTCGCTCACTGAAGTCATTTAGTTAGTGGTTAAAACTTGAAGTGGATCATATTGCTACAAAACCAACACTTGAAAATCAGTCTACTGCTCTCTAGCAACTCACTACAGGGTGATATCGCCCGACGTTTTCTGGCAAGAAGTCGGGTGCAATAGAATCCATCAAGTTGTAAGCATGATGAAGTCAAATATATTCATTGGATGACATTAGCTGGCGGTTGCACAATATCGTGAGTCGCCTGCGTTCTGTCTCCCGTATGAAGTGGTAAAAAGGGTGAGCAATATTGTGCATCTGCAACACAGCGGTTAGGACTCTCGCCGACCATGCACATGGTCCGGGGTTCGATACCCGGCTACCGACGCACTCCTTTACCTCGTTAAGGCAGAAATAAACCTGGTAAAGAGGAAACGTTGGGCATGAGGCTAGCAACAGCACCCTGTAAAAATGAACACTGCTTCAGAAATTGCAAGCCTCTAACTTGAAGGTGTCCTATGTTCCACTGGGTACGTGAAGGAAATAAAAAAAAGTATTGAGGTTAGGTGTCGAATGATATGTAAGGGGAGGAAGTCAGTCGACGAGGCTCTGAAGTTACATTGACTGAGATGGTTAAGGAATGTGTTATGTATGCCTAGCCATTGCCTTCCTTGACTGCGGGAATGTTAGCTGACTAATATAGGATGAATCAAGTTGGAAAAGAGTTAGTGGTGGTCAAAAAAGACATGGCTTCATCAGTCAATGACATCCATAACAGTTAGTTTAAGCCAACCATGAAGGAATATGTAGACTTCCTGATTGGAGTCCTTGGATGGTAGAAACCAAGGACTGCTGGAGACGATCGGGGATATAGCTTAAATTAATTGTTCTTCCCGATGGCTGGCGCAGATGCATCCACTCCTTATGACTTATAATATCCAATAAAACTATATTGTTCTTCTACATAACTATTCTTTTTGCCTCGTATTTCTTTTTACTGTCTCTATTTTGCATTTCCTTTTACTTTCTTCTCTGACTTTGTGTACTGAGTGAAGTATAGTGACTCAAATCGCTGCATATCTGTGCAAAGTTCTATGTTGAATCCAGTCAGTCATTCCGTTGGTAGAAGTTAAAATTCATGCGCTGTTGGATTTCGTTTCAGTGACTGTGAATGGTGTACGAGTTTGCCTAGGGGTTGGGCTCTTTGGTGCACACCGCTGAAAAGTCACAAACAAAAACCGAAAACATCTGGCCGCTTAGTACTCTTTGGTCTACAAGTATTGTTTGCTAACTGAAGTCAATCCACGATTAAAATTAAAAGCAGTCAAGTACCTGTTTAAGTCAAAATAGCAAATAATATTTCTCCTAGTATTCTACTTAATGCAATAGGCTAACTTTTAAAAAGTTAATTGGTGGATGATGACTAGCAGTGGAATCCAGGATGCACATTTCGTCCTGTTTGGGACTCGTCATCTGGTTAAGTTCTGTTTGAAGAGTGATTTGAATAGAAAACAGTGATGTCTGTCTGTCTGTCTGTTTCCAACATAGAACTTAGCACCTATGTGCAGCAGTTCAAGTCGCCACACTCCCTCCTTGTCTGTCTCTGTCTGTTTTCGACATAGAACTTTGCACAAATGTGCGGAAGTTCAAGTCGCCACATTCCGTGTAGCACGCGAAGCAAGAGAAGAAAGTACAAGAAAAGCATAATAGAAACAGTGAGCAGAGGTGTGAGACAAAGGAGTAATAAAGAAATACAAAACAGTTTCATTGAAGATCATAAGTCACAGGGAGTGGATGCATCTGCGCCACTGAGAACGATTTTGAGCCATGTCACCAATTGTTTCCAACCATAGATTTTTACCGTCCCGAGGACCCCAGCCTGGAAGTCTACACCTTTCTACGTGGCTTAGACCAACTGTTGTGGATTTCATTGACTGATGCCAAGTTTTTGTTTGACCGCCGCTAGCTTTTTTCCAGCCTGACCCTATATCCGCTAACATTGCTCGTCGAGGGAGGCGATGACTTGGCATACGTAACACATGTCCTAACCATCTCAGTCTTTGTAGCTTCACGACTTCGTCGATTGATTTCCCCTGTTTACCTAGAACTCTACGCCTAACCTCCATGTTGCTCACCTTATTATGCCACTTTACACGGGAAATAGAACGCAGGCACCTATGATCAAAGACAGCTAGTCTTTTCATGTCTTCCACTCTCAGTGGCCAGGTCTCACAACCATAAAGGAGGACGGAGCGGACTGATGAGCAGTACACCCGCCCTTTGGTCGATAGTCGAACATCTCGTCTACGCCAGAGTCGGCGTAAACTAACAAATGCGAAACGAGCCCCTTGTATTCGTGCTGAGATTTCGTCAGAGATCAGCCCGTTGGGGCTGATGGTACTTCCCAAATAAGTGAAGCGGTCAACGTGCTCTACCACTTCACTTCCTATTTTTAAACTAGGCGTCGATGTAGTCCAGTCCTGTAACATCATCTTGCATTTGGCGGGAGCGAATCGCATGCCAAACATTCGTAGATTGCTGCTCAAGGTGTTTAGAAGACTCTGCATTTCGTCAGCGTCTTCGCCTAGAAGGACTATATCGTCTGCATATTCCAAGTCAACGAGATTATTCCCCGGTAGCAAGTCAATCCCTGAGTCGCTGAAGTCACCTAGGGTTAAGTCCATTAACACATCTATGATGAAGTTGAATAGAAAAGGAGATAATGGGCATCCTTGACGGACACCACTGGTCGTCATCAGTTCAGATGACAGCTCGCCGTAAGCCCTCACCTGGCTGTATGAGTACGAGTAGAGTGCCTTAATCAGTGCAATATATTTTCTCGGAATTCCCTTTACAGCCAAGCATCTCCAGAGAACTTCCCGATCGACAGAGTCGAATGCTGCCTTTAGGTCAAGAAATATAATGACTGTTGGACGCCGGTAGGAATGCCTATGTTCTAGAATCTGTCGGAGGGTGAAGATATGATCAATACACCCTCTTCCTGGTCTAAAGCCTGCCTGGCTCTCTCGTGTTTGTGCTTCCCGAGCACCACTCAGTCTACGCATGATTATTGAGCCTAAGACTTTAGATACTATATTAGTCAAGCTAATCCCTCTGTGATTATCACAGGAAGACTTGTCTCCCTTCTTGTATATGGGGATAATCAGTGACTTACACCAACCCGATGGGACTTCTTCTGATTCCCAGACGCTGCCTAGTACCTCAGTTAATCCGGACAGTAAGCTGTCTCCACCGTACTTAAATACCTCTGGAGTCATTCCATCAGGTCCCGCTGCTTTGCCTAGTTTCAGATTGGTGACAGCTTTAGTAACCTCAGTTAGTGACGGAGGACCTGTGTCTATATCCCATTCAGGGAGGTGTTGGATGCTCGGAAGGTTGAGCGTGGCTGTGGGCAAATTAAACTGCTCCTCATAATGCTCTTTCCAACGATCCAGTCGTCTATCCTGGAGCTAATTATAGTGCCATTTTTTTCCGAGATTGTCTCACTAATGATTTGTCTTCTCCCACCCGTTTCCCTGATGAGTCCAAAGAGTTGCCTGGTGTTGCCTATCCTCAAAGCTTTCTCCATCTCTTTGGCTTTTGTCGCCCACCACTGTTCACGGTCCTTGCGGAGACTTTTCGTAAGTTTCCTCTTGTGCAGCTTTCGCTCCTCATTGAATTCGGAGCTCGCCGGAATAAGTCTTCTAGCATCTATCAGTTCGGATGAGGCGGTGGAGATCCAGTGGTTTTTACTCACCTTTGGGTTTACCTTATTCACAGCTTTTACAGCTGTATCTATGGCTGCCTGGATATTTTTCCAAGCTTCTTCAGGGTGAGCACAGCTGTCGAACACAGATATGTGTTTAGCTAGTTCTTCCTCAAATACGGATTTAGTTTCCTGATCGAGCTGGGGACGTGATGGTTTTACCGCCAGCTGTTTCCTACGTCCGTTCAGTCGTAAGCACACCCGAGCGCGGACCAGTGCATGGTCGGTATCTACGCACGTGTTCCAGAAGGAGCGACAATCTCCTACCGACCCACGCCAACGATAGCTTATTGCTATGTGGTCTATTTGTGTCCAGCGTTGGTTTGATGAAGGGGGTCTCCAAGTCAAACAGTGTCTCTCCTTGTGTTTAAAGTTAGTGCTTACAAGAAACAAATGATTATCAGAGCAGAACTGTAGGAGACGGTCACCGTTGTCGGTTCGCTGGCACGGAGCTCCATAGGTGCCACCGACATCCTTCTCAGATTGACACAATTTCCCTACTTGAGCGTTAAAGTCACCAGCTAGAACGACTATGTCTGAGCGTTTAGCCTTTCCACCAAACTAGACAGCTTTTGGTAGAACTCATCCTTCGTTTCATCTGAACTGCAGTCAGTGGGGGCGTAGGCGGAGATTACGAAAAGGCATCGGCGAGTAGTGCAGTCCTTCCTCCTTCTTACTGATCCGTTCAGGCGGACAGCACACATTCGGCTATCTACCGGGATCCAGTCAAGCAATGTCTTTTCTGCCCTAGTACTCAAAGCTATCCCTACGCCAGCTAATCCTCGTGAACTAGCTGTGGCATCTCCTGACACCCTCAAGGTGAATTTTGCAGATTCAACCTGTTGGCCAGGTGGGGTTAGGTGAATAACCACACTTGGGTCTTGTATGCGTGTTTCTGAAACACAGCATACATCAATGGCTCGTGATGCCAGGGTCCCTCCTTGTAGCACACAAAGGAAGAGAAGAAGGTAGAAGAAATGCATAATAGAGATAGCAGTCAGGGATATGGGACAAAAGGAATAGTAATGAGAAAAACAATATAGTTTCATTGGATATTATAAGTCATATGGAATGGATCCATCTGCACCAGCCATTGAGAACAATTTTGAGCCGTATCACAAATTGTTTCCAACCATTAGTTTTATCGTCCCCAGGACCCCAACCAGTCAGGAAGTCTACATATTCCTACGTGGCTGGCTGGCTTAAACTAACTATTGTGGGTTTCATTGACTGATGAAGCCATGTTTTGTTTTGACCACCACTGGCTCTTCTTCAACCTGATTTGTATGTCAGTCAGCTAACAGTGCCTGTTGTTGAGGAAGGCGATGGCTAGGTATAGGTAACACATATCCTAACCATCTCAGTCGATGTAACTTCACAGTCTCGTCAGTTGATTTCCCCTCCCTCCTTACCTAGAACCCGATCGATGCCTAACCTCAATATTGCTCACCGTATTATACCATTTCAGACGGGAGATAGAACGCAGACAACTATGATCAAAGACAGCTAGTCATGTCTTCCAGAGACGGCGTGAAATGGCATATGTGAAACTAGCCCTTTGTATCCGTGCTGAGATTTCGTCAGAGATCAACTGGATGGTTTCTGGAAATGAAAACATCGAAATGAATATTTTTCTTAGTCAAATATTCACATTTCATTGTATTTCATGCCTTAAGAAATAGGTAAAAAAATCTATATTTTATCTATCTATCTATCTGTCTATCTGTATGTATGTGTATATATCTATACATGTGTCTATTATAGAGTGTACATCCCCTGGATCCGCCATACCGTCACCTGAGGCATGTTCAAAGCTAATTAATTATCCATTGACTGATGGACGAACACTTTTACATGTAGCTGTTGAATTTCAAAGTGATCCAGATGTACTTCTATTATTACTTGAATGTGGATGTGATCCTGCTGTCAGGTTAGTTTTTGTGTGTATGGCTCTGTGTGTGTATATATGTGAGTGAGTGTACATTGCTACGATTTCTTTCTTAAGCATTTAATTCACTTTTGATCATAGAGTGATTTTAGTTAGAGAATGATTGAAACCCGGTGAGGAGTATTGGACAGTTAGCTGTTTTGTCCTAGTTTGGGACTCGCCTTCAGCAGTACATGTTATTCATTACTTAAGATAATTCAATTGAAAACATAAAAGTATGTTGTCCAGTAGAGTGAGTCAGCCACCACTTGATCAAACCCCCCGCCGCTCCATAAGTGGAGATTTTTTCAGTTAGCTTTATCATTGAGTGTTTTAGCCGATAGAGTGTCAAGCTTGAGTTCTGTCCTACCTATTTGACACTGGTTGAATGGGCCATTGTATTGTGCTTCCGCGATGCCTTTGAAATGAAAACATGAGACATAAGACAAGGTGGCAGCCGTCTTACTCTCACTGATGATGGTGCCGATCTTGATTGTTGTGTGGACTACTGGATTAATCGGCACATTGTGGGGAGCAAGAAGGCAAGAATACATTAGATTAACAATAAGACGTTGAAGAAGATTTTGAACTTCGTAGAAGATTTATGTCTAAGGTTGTTTAAACTCGAAGGTAGACAGGCGAAAAAACGAACAAGTTGGCAGTAGAGGTAGGCATCGAAGACACAGGTTAGGGGCCTAACCAACAACAACGACAATAAAAATCAACTACTATCAACGGGATAGATTTCGAGGGAGTCATTTACTTCACTTGTCTAGGCTAGGCAGCATCGTTCCAACTATAGAAATGTCAGAATTGCGTTTGGGAAAGTTGCACACACTTTGATTGATCTGAAATTAGTGTGTGAATCTGGTGCACTTAACATGAAAAAAAAAATAAGATTCGGACTTTAGACACTAATGTCAAGTTAGTCAGTGCTTCTCTTTTTGGTTCAGAGACTTGGCGTGTCATCAAAAGCATGTCGAACTGGCTATTGCTTACTTTCATCAACAGCTACCCCCCTGTTGTCTATACTGACTAACTGACTAACTAGTTTCAACACAGAACTTTGCACAGATGTGCAGCAGTTTGAGTAGTCACCACACTTCACTCAGCACACAAAGCCAGAGAAGAAGAAGAAAGTAGAAAGAAATACAACATAGAGACGGTAAACAGAGATATGAGGCAAAAGGAATAGTAATATCGAACAACAATATAGTTTTATTGATATTATAAGTCACAAGGAGTGGATGCATCTGTGCCAGCCATTAGGAACGACCACTTTGAGCCATATCACCAATTGTCTTCAGCCTCTCTTGATTTTCACCGTCCCGAGGATCCCCTCCAAGAAGTCTACAGCTCCCCACGTGGCTGGCTGACTTAAACTAACTGTTGTGGATTTCATTGACTGGTGCAGCCACTGACTCTTTTCTGACCTGACCCTATGCTTGCTAACATTTCCTGTTGTTGAGGAAGGCGATCAATGGCTAGGGGGGATGCATGCGCAACTCAAACTGTTACACATCTGCGCAAATTCCTATGTTGACACCAGTCAGTCAATTAGTCGTATTATTACAGGTGATAATATGTCTCAACTCAACTATATCAGATGCATAATGACAGAAAATGTTTCACCTTCTCATCATTCTAGACTAGGAAAGAGCAAATGAGAGTCAGTTCGTTATGGAGATATTTTTAAAAGAAGCTGTTGCGGAGTGATAGTTGTGAATTCTTATAAAATTCCATTTTTCTAGTTAAGCTGTCCTACAGATATCCTGTAATCAAGTATACTGAGGCATACAGGTGAAAATAAAAACCACAAACACAGATGTGTGCTCCGTGTCCGATTCCCTCCTCGGAAACCTCACCTGATGGCTAATAAGTCCGGGAAAGAGGAGAAGGGGGGGGTTGAAGGTTTGTCGTGAGGTCACCAACCTGATCCTTTACAAAAATCACTACTATGCTATTGAAATATCAAAACTCACACTTGTGAAGTGCCCCCCGTTCCACTCAGATCTCAAAGGAATGTAAGAAAGAGCTGAGCTGGTGGTAGACGACCTCCGGACTAGTAATTCTGAGACCACGGTCCATTTCCTATTAATAATCGTACTTTATTTCAATCCTTCATTTTCTTTTCTTTAGTGATTCTGATGATGTAACACCCTATCAATTGGCAATACGCTTGAATAAGAAAGCGATGGCCAACGTGTTTCGACGTTTCCGGTTTCATCAACCAGATCGTTATGATTATGATAAAGCTCGTGTGAGTATTTTCGCTTTTCTTCCTTTTTTTGTTGTTGTAGTTGTTGTTATTCTGAACTTCTCAATTGATTGATGCTTGCTCTCTGTTGTTATGTCGACTTCTAGCAATAGATGCTTCGGCAATACCTTGAGATAACCACTATATGCCCTGTTGCTTATCAGTTAGTGGCTAGCAGGAGAATCAACGCCGACGGTTTCGTTCTGTTTAATCCACGTTAGCTGGTTGTTGTTTCAAATACCATCATTTATCAAATATGTAGCAGCTGATGAGCCATAAGTAGGACAGACTGACTGACTGGATTCAACTTAGAACTTTGCACATACGTGCACCAGTGCAAAGTACTGTTACAAGATTGGCAGGAGCCTGTACCTGCACTCACTCTTGCGGGTGAACCGCTTGAAGTTGTTGATAAGTTTGTGTACCTGGGTAGTTGTGTGAGTGCTGGCGGAGGGTGACGGATGAGATTTCCAACCGTATAATGATGGCTAGGGTGGCATACATCAACTTGAGCCACCTCTGGCGCCGTCGCGACGTTGGCCTGGCTGTCAAAGGTCGAGTATACAATTCTTCGGTGCGGGCTGCTCTGCTCTACGCCTGTGAAACCTGGCCTCTCCGAGCTGTGGATGTGCGGCGACTCTGCGTGTTCGATCACTCTGTCTCTGCAGGATTGCTTGCGTTCGATGGATGGCATCATCGCGTGAGTAATTCTGAGGTTCGGCAGCGTGTGTTTGAACACAGCGGAGATCACTATTCATTGAATGTCGTCATCTGGAAACACCGGCTCCGGTGGCTTGGACATGTACTGCGAATGTCACCCCAGAGGCTTCCGTACAGGTCTCTGTTCGCTAGCCCTGGGACGGGATGGAAAAGGCGGAGAGGTAGTCAGTCTATGACGTGGCGTCGTGGGATGAAGGATTTTTGTGCTAGATTAGCATCGGTTGGTGTGTCACGACTCCCTGGTTGGGGTCCGAGAGATAGCTCAAATCGATGGCTCGAAACGTTATCGGATATGGCCAAGAATCGTAATCAATGGCGAATGTGTTGCGATTTCCTTCTTTCTTCCCTTCCCGATGACAGTTAACGAACACTGTTTGAACTTGTTAAGCATGAGTGTTTTCCTTCCAAATGAAGTTCTTTTTCCGTTCTCCACTTATATATATTTTTTCTTTTCCTTCCTTCCTTTTTTTTCTTTTTGATCTATGTTGTTTTATTATTATTGTGTGGCGCATCTTTCTTGGTGCCATATTGTACCAAGTTTTTTTTTATGCGTTTAAGTAAAATAAAATAAAAGTGTGCACCAGAGTGAAGAGAGATTCAAAAGAAAGAGAGAGATGATAAACAGAAATGTGTGCGTCGGTTGCACTGTGGTTAGGACTCTCGCTGACGACCATGCACATCGTCCGGGGTACGATCCCCTGCCGACGCACACCCGATATCTATGGTCGACTTGCAAAATTTGGGCTACCGATATTGCATGCTGAATAATTCCGTACCTGTACCAAAAATACGGTATGGAATGAAGCTGTAATAAAAAAAAGTAATATGGAAGAACAATAGAATTTTACTGGATATTATAAATCACAAAGAGTGAATGCATCTGCACCAGCTGTTGAGAACGGTCTTTAGCCATCACACCACACTTTCAGCACTTGCAACCTAACTGAGTGGTGGACGTGCGGGTCTGTCTAGAGTAGCCAGAAAACCTTGATTCTAAAATCTACGGTGGTGTAGGTGGTCTCCTGAATCCGAACGAATCAGATGGTGTATGAGCCTGTTTCGTTCACTAAAATTCATGCTCCTACTACTTTATAGATGACACTTAAAGTGATCGGGTCAAGAGTGGCTGCCTAAGACAACCGTCTACTTCGATCTGGGTGTCAAAGCAGTAAGTATCCCAGCCTTTGCACAAACTGAAATGTTGTGTGGTGTGCCTGTTGGTACCCATAATGTATTGAGTTTGTGTTTTACTAAGTCGCGTCGTTCTGCGGAAAATAAAAACTGCACTAGAGGCAGAACACCTCCCGACGGAACGATCTGTGTTCAGAAATAGCAGACAAATCATGTACTGATCAAATTGCAACTCTAAGCGTCATCATCACAGAACAAAGCATAGAATAACAGTCAAACCAATCCCTACTTCAGCTTCATCAACCTTGAATATACCTTCAACAGACGATGTTGACTGAGGAGTAATTCGAAAGCTGCTTCGAAACTACGGCGTGCAATGCCCAAGTCTTTATCAACCTCATTCAACATTTCGCTATATGACAATGCCACGTATCAGGTGATCTACGGCGGGAAAATCAGCGAGGCTTTCGAAGTGAATACCGGAGTAAGGTAAGAACCATTGGAAAATCAGTGCTGGAGTACTGGACAGCTGTTTCGTCCTAGTTTGGGACTCTTCATCGATACGCACCCACCGGGATTTGAGCCCAGGACGTTCTAGTTACAAGGCGAGCTCTTATGCCATTAAGCCACTGGTATACGAGATCGCCTTGTAACCAGAAGGTCCTGGGTTCGAATTCCGGTGGGTGCGTGCTGATGAAGAGTCTCAGACTAGGCTGACGAAACAGCTGACCAGTATTCCCAGGTTTTCCAGTGGTTCTCTAACTGATGTCAGCTCATGATGAAATCCTGTAAACCAATCAAATCCCACAAAACAACACTTAAAAATGGAGATATATTGGACACAAACTGAGGAGACCGTCTAATGACATCGTGCGCAGTGCAGGCCAGTGCTCGAGTGGAATCCCATCGCGAAGCAACGAGTGGGTCGTCGGTGTGAGGGTGGTATGAAAGAGATCGTGAGAGGGGGGAGATGAGAGATTATGGGCAGTCATGAGCGTAACTATGAAATGGATAGTAGAAAGTAGAACATAGTGGAGATGTGTTGTTCAAGCCATATGTTCCACTAGGAACCCAAGGGAACAATAATCAACGGATCCGGAGTATATAAAATCTTTCCTAATTCTATTTATCTTTCGATCATACATTGTGATTCCATTGTTTTTGATGTGTTGTTTATTTTTTCAACCACCACCCCCCCTTTGCCTTTAGATCCCTACTCCATTGAATCCATCAAAAGAAGCTGCTAAAGCTGAACGTGAACGAGAACGTGCCAAACGACAGAAACAACGACAAAAAGAGAAACGTGCAGCTGAACGTGCCTTAGCTGAACAACGAGAGAAAGAGGCTGCTGAACAAGCTCGTTTCTTAGCGTTATCAGATAGAGAGAAGGTAAAAAAAAAAGGAAAATCTTTTTCGTCTGACTTTTTCAAAAATGAAGCTAGAAAGAAGTATGACACGATTTTATAATTATATTTGCATAGTTTATGTTCCAATTTTTAAAAGTTATAAGCAACTGAAAGTTTATTCAACGATGAGAAGTGTTAACGGTTGGTTGCCTGATACAACGATACAGAAACACTAATCAATATTTTCAAGAGGTGATTTGTGGAGATTTGATTTGCTTTTCAAGTTTGACGATGGATTAATATGGAGTTAAAAGACCCATTAAAAGCCAGTAGGAAGTACTGGGTATTTGTTTCGTCCTAGTTTGGGACTCATCATCAGTACTCATCCACTGCTATGGTTTGAATCCAGGACCACTGGGAACCCGATTCAATGTCCAGCTCATGAATTCTTGCTTCTTCGAATTCGTGATCTTACTGCCAAACTCGGTGGATGCGTGCTGCACATGAATCCGAAACTAGGATGAAACATCTGGCTGTCCAGTACTCCCTGTGGCGGCTGGTTTTTCAGCGATTCTCCAACTGATATCAATTAGTGATTAAACTTCAAAAACAACAGTAGTTTTTGCACAGTAAAATGGTACCATTATTGCGTATTTCGTTGGCGTCTCATCAGCTGCGTGCAGCCTAAAGATATTTATTAATTACGTTTATATACAGAACAATTTTAAGTATACTTTCAAATGTTTTACATGATATCAGTTGACAGTAGACTCCAAATGTCATAAATACTGTCCAAAATATTACACTTTTATAGTTTATAATATGAGGAATTGAAATTCAAAAAAATAGTTAGATTGCGTACAATGGCAAAAGAGTTGCGTAATAAACAAAAGAGGTGAGTAAGATGATGAGTAATTCATAAGTCGAGTAACAATATACTGAGTCCAACTGATAGAAACAACCGACAAGCAAAGTGACATTGTATCCAAGTGGGCGATGGGGTGGGAAAGAGGTTGAAGCTAAATACTACGTTATTAGATAAATGGGAGAGTAAAGACATTGAGAGTGAAGAAAGACTGATAACTGCTTCTTTCTGAACACATAAATTGGCGTTGGAATCGTTTGCTCGAGATTGCTTCAGCAAACTTGAGGAGAATTGATGAACTATCTTGTCTGTTGATAATTTTAAAGAATTTCATGATGTATGCACCGGATGATCTGTATTCAATAGATGCCTAACAATGGCATTATTGAAAGCTTTTATTCCTTTGAGACGTAGGGTTTTTTGTACATGTTGAGAGCATTGGAGATATTCCCTTCTGATATGTATCCACATATATATTTATGTGTGTGTGTATGTTGGTCTCTCTTTCTGTTTGCTCGCTTAGTATGTGACCATTTCACTTGTATGAACTTGTCTCCTTTAACAATGTATATTCTCCTTATATTATATTATATATAATATGAGTGTTTGTTGACAGTCCGTTGCTTGGTGACATATATCCATATATGGTGGTTGTTGACATGTCTGCTATATTTCGCTATGTATATATGGATAGATACTTCATTATAATTAGCCATTCATGTTAAGACTGTCTAATGATTGTTCACACCCTTGTCTGAACATTCATACATATTTTGCATTCACAATTTGTGTGACTTACACTGGCTTACCGCTTTGGTGTGATACCACTTTTGCATTCTCCTTGTGTTTGGAAATAGAAGTATCATCGCAAACCTAGTGGTCTTCTGATTTCCGCCTTCTTGCGTCAGGACTATTAAATTCTCGACCAGTCCATAACAATAATTTGTCGACGAGTACATAACAATTTGGCGACGGGGAAAACTACTATTAACCACTCAGCAGCGGCAACATAACACCTTCTTTCTGTTCTCCCAATGTAACTGCTTCCGCAGAGACATGCAAATTTGTATACATAGTTAGAATTAACATGAGATGGTTGGAGGCAATCGGCAGGATTTCTTTTCTAACTTAGATTTCATGCTATTTGGCACTCAGAAAATCAGTCAGAAATACTAATAATAAGTTGGGTGAGCTGCAGATGAGTTTGCTGGCAAACATTTTAGAAACTGCCATCCTTCGTTTAAATTCTCTTCGATCTAACTAGTAAATTACTACTAATTGACGTGAGTAGTTTTTAACTACTCATATTGTTATTCAGTAGTCGGTATCATCTCGTTAATTTTTATTCCTCTCTTTTTGTTTTAACTAACTACTAGCGTGCTTTAGCAGCAGAACGTCGTTTGAACTCTGCTAGAACAGCAGCAGGTGAAACACCTGTGGTTTTCAGGTAATTTTAATATATGTATATATTTATATCAATGGTAGTTATGTTTGTTTGTTTTAGTTTTGTTCCAATTATGATTGTTAGTATTGTGCATCTCTAATAAATCAGAGTAGCTTTCACATCGATTAGAGAGTCATGGGAAACCAAAGAGCAATGTACAACCCCTTTTTTCTAGTTTGGGACTCTTCAGCAATATGCCAAGAGGTCATTAAATTCCTACCCATTTAGTGATTGGTCAACAGATTGGCGTCGTAGCCTGAAGGTACTGGATTCACTTCACAATAGGTTTATGGGCGAGTTCACACTGATGAAGAGTCTTGAATTGGGACGTTAAAGTTTTTTTTTCGAGTGTGTAAGTGAGAATATTTGCGTGAAGTTTGAAAGTAAACCGTTCTACTTTTCCACTATACGGGATCTTCAAATGATCCAGTGTGTTAAAGTTATATAGAGCTTGCCACCGAAGTGCACCAGTTCTAGTTGACACACAAAGGTAGACAAGAAGATGAGTGAAGAGAATCAATAGAGTGTGACAAGTATAAGAGTGAAACAGAATGGGTAATGGTAGAAAGGAATATGAAAGATTACAGAGACTGAATACATCTGCGCTGGCCATTGATAACGATTTTGAGTCATGTCACCTATTGTCTCCAGCCATTGATTCCTAGAGTCAGTCCCGAGGGCCCCAACTCGGAAGTCTGCATCTCCCTCCCTACCTGACTCGGTTCAACTGTCAAGGATTTCATGGATTGATGACATGTTTTTGTTTGGCCACCACTTACTCTTTTCCAACCTGCACCTATATCAGCTCGTAATGCCCGTCGGGGGAGGCGGTGGTTAGGCATGCGCAGCGTGTGACCTAGCCATCTCAATCTATGTAACTTTATAGCCTCGTCGATTGATTTTCCCTGTTTGCCCAACACTCTACGCCTAACGTCAACATTACTTATCTTGTGAAACCACCTAACGTGAGAACGAGATCGCAGACATCTATGATCGAAAGCAGTCAACCTTTTCATGTCTTCAACAACTCGTATTGGCCGTGTTTCAGAGCCATAGAGGAGGATGAAGCGAACTGCTGAGCAGTACACACGTCCCTTCGTTGATAACCGGATGTCACGCCTACGCCAGAGATCTGTCTGTCTGTCTGTTTTCGACATAGAACTTTGCACAAATGTGCGGAAGTTCAAGTCGCCACACTCCAGGTAGCACGCGAAGCAAGAGAAGAAAGTACAAGAAAAGCATAATAGAGACAGTGAACAGAGGTGTGAGACGAAGGAGGAGTAATAACGAAGAACAAAATAGTTTCATTGGAGATCATATATCACATGGAGTGGATGCATCAGCGCCAGCCACTGAGAACGATTTTGAGCTATGTCACCAATTGTTTCCAACCATAGATGTTTACCGTCCCGAGGACCCCAGTCTGGAAGTCTACACCTTCCTACGTGGCTTAGACCAACTGTTGTAGATTTCATCGACTGGTGCGATGTTTTGGTTTGACCTCCGCTAGCTTTTTTCTAGCCTTACCTTATATCCGCTAACATTGCTCGTCGAGGGAGGCGATGACTAGACATACGTACGTAACACATGTCTTAACCATCTCAGTCTTTGAGATGGTGTAAGTCAGCGAGAGCAGCTCGAGCTTTTTGGATCCGTGCTGAGATTTCATCGCTAATCAGTCCGTTGGTGCTAATACAACTTCCTAAGTAGGTGAAGTGGTCAACATGTTCTATCACTTCACTCCCTATCACTAAGTTAGGAGTTGACGTGGTCCAGTCCTGTAGCAGCATCTTACATTTTGCAGGGGCGAATCGCATGCCGAACATACGAAGATTGCTGCTTAAGGTGTTCAGAAGATTCTGCTGGATTTTGTCAGAATCCTCCCCTAACAGGACTATGTCATCTGCATATTCTAAGTCAGCGAGATTATTCCCTGGTAACAAGTCGATTCCTAAGTCGTTGCGTTCAGTTAAGGATACTTCCATCAGCATATCTATGATGAAGTTAAACAGAAATGGGGAAAGTGGACATCCCTGTCGGACACCACTGGTTGTTACCAATTCAGATGACAATTCCCCATAAGCCCTTACACGACTACGTGAGTTTGAATAGAGTGCCTTGATTAGTGCGATGTACTTTCTTGGCACTCCCTTCACAGTCAAACATTGCCGTAGTACCTTTCGATCCACGGAGTCGAAGGCCGCCTTGAAGGCAAGAAATATGGCAATTGTTGGACGCCGAAAAGTGTGTCTATGTTTAAAATCTGTCGGAGAGTGAAAAAGTTATATGTGCCATCTGATAGATGATGGAATTATATTTGCAGTCTATCAGTCAGTTGCAGTCTGAATAAATACGTTTCATTTTCAACCATGTTAAACACTTTTTTTTATTGTTGTCCCAATAAAATCATGATCACTTTGGATTACTTCTGGAGATATCTTCCTGAATGCATCTTTGAATGAACCTTGTTCACAGAAAGCATCAAAAGTGTGCTTAACCTTAATATTTTATCAGTTTATTATGCCAACCAACTAACATCCTATCGATTTCTAAACTGAAATGTGAAAGAATAACAGGCACTACCGTCAACCTTATAAATGACCCTAAATACAACCAGTCAGAAATAGTAGGCGTCTTAAATGTATTAACATATTGTATTTAGGGAAAACAACTGATTGATCGAAGCAATATACTCATTTTCAATTAGTTCCTCATCAACAGCTCTACACAAGTATATAATTCTTCACATTAAATGACTGGTGGAACGTTTACTGCCATTACAACATAAGAAATTTGTGAAAAATAGCGTGAAAGATAGTTTTGAATTAAATGTGAAGGAAAAATACATGGTATCGCTAGATGTCTCTTCTTTATTCAATAACACACCCTTGGTGGAAACAGTTGATTACACATGGGTAGTGAATTGATAAAGCAACGTATAAAGATTGGAATTCCTATGTCTTGCGTAATGGAAATTCTTTCGAGGTGTATAAGGAATGTTGTAAACGTTCTGTTCAATGAAGAAATGTATAGACAGATAAATGGTGTTACCATGGGTTCATCACTAGACCAAATCCTAGGGGATGTTTTTCGAACGACACTAAATAATGGTCCTCTTAAAGATGTTGTATATAATCTTGATTTCTATTGCCTATATATATCAATGATACATTCATAGTTGTGAAGGCGGAAAGTGAAACTAAGAACATTTTGGAGAAATTCAGTAAAGCACATTCTTGCATGAACTTCACTAAAGAAAAAGAAAAGGAAAATGAGTCTATCTCCTTTTTGGATGTCCTAATGACTAAACGAACAGACGGAACAATATATAAACGTTTGCATACAATGCCTACCTTCACTGGACAATATACTCACTTCCTGAGCTTCGTACCTCTACAACACAAATGTGATCTGGTTAGATGTCTGGTTCATCGGACTCGAGTTATCTGTTCGAATGAGACATTGAACGGAGAACTCGTGATATTCGCGATCTACTACTAAGTAGAAACGGATGTCCGACAAAATTCCTGAACAAACCACATAAACTCAAAAAAAAAAGTCGAAGGTGCGCTGACGTTCCCAAAAAAAATCAGTCTTTCAAAGATTACTATTCACGGGTGATGTCAATAGTGAGATCCTATCACAGGATCTGAGAAGGGCTTTCAAAAGGAGGATGGAGTGAACTGCTACTGAGTACACGACGTGGCAACTCGAACTGCTGCACTTCGGTGCCAAGTTCTATGTTGAATCCAGACAGACTGAGTACACGCGTCGTTTGAATAATAGTCGGATGTTACGTCTACACCAGAAATGACGTATGTTGGCAATAGCCACATGAGTCTTTCCTATCCATTCTGAGATCTCGTCAGTGCATTAGGGTTGATGCAGCTTTCGAAATAAATGAAGTTGTCTACACTTTTTATCTTTTGGCTTAAGATTCGGTGTAGTCTAGTCCTGCGGCATCTTCTTACTTTTGACAGGAATGAGTCACATGCCGAACATTCAAAAATTTCTGCTCAAAATATGTTCAGAATGACTACGTATGTCATCAGTTTCTTCACCTAGGAGGATTATATCCGCATATTCCAAGTCAACTAAGCTCTTCTCTAGTTACAAGCCAATATCTAAGTCCCTCAAGTCACTAAGGGTCAATTTTATTAGTATATCTATGTTAAATTCAAATAAAAAATTAGGGACAGTGGACTTCTCTGGTGGACATCACTAGTTGTCATCACTTTAAATGAGTGCCTTGATTAGTGCGATTTTTCCCTACTCGGCACCTTCATCACTGAACATATTGCCCCACAGTACTTGTCGATCGACAGAGTCGAAGTGCCACCATTGGGTGAAGAGCTGTAGAAATGTTCAAGATTTCGATCACGAAGTAAATATCAGTTCAAGAAGCGCATTGAAAACCCAGTAGGTTGTACTGGACAGTTGTTTCGTCCTCCTCTGGGGCTCATCATCAGAAATCAATGACTATTGAGTCGGCTTCCAGTTTGTTTTGTAACCGTAAGGTCCTCGGTTCGACAGGTGGTGTGTGTGTGTGCCGCTGATGAGTTCCATGCTAGGGCGAAATAGCCTACTGTCCAGTAGTACTTCCTGTGGTTGGTTATCAATGGTTCTCAAACTGATATCACCAATCCATAATGAAAATCAAATAAATTCTTGAAAAGTGTGGAAATTACTGGACGCCGGTAAGTATGCTTATGTTCTAGGATCTGTTGAAGGATGTAGTTACTATTACAGTTTCCAAGTTCTACAGAAACACACAAATATTTAATTTTTCGCTTCTTTTCTGTCTTTTTCTTTTAGTCGTTGCTTTCAATGCGCTTGTGATATCACCGGTAAAGTACCATTCACTTATATGGATTATAATTTTTGTACACCAACCTGTTTAAAACAACATCGTCTAGCATCATCGTCGGCATCCACGTCGACTGCTTCAACCACAACAACATCAACTCATCGTCCAAATCTGACTACTACTAAATGACAAAGATGGATGACACCTCTTTTACCCCTCACCTCCCGCTATTTTCTTGTTGTTTCCTTCCCCATGATTATCTTTTTACTCAGAATTTCAGATGAATAATTCCCTCTTACTTGTATGTGAACAGGATTAATTGTACAATTATGTATGACGTAACAGTGTTACGTCATCTGTGAGAGTGGAGTGTGTGTGTGTGTGTTTGCGTACGTGTATGTTTAAGTGGATATAGATTTTTTTTTCAATTAATTTGATAATACCTCGCCCCCGTCTATCTGCATCAATATGATGTAATTTAATGTAAGCAGCCTCAGTCAGTTTGTGTCTGTGAGTGTTTGTGTGTGTGTGTATTCTCTCATATGCCTTACTCAACCAACCAACTAGCTGGTTGAGTTGTTTACTTTATTTTGTCTTGTGCAGATAAAACACCTTTGAAAGAAAAAATAGAAAAAGTTATGCTTTATTTGTCTTTCATCACCTTTTCCTTATACTGTTCCCTCACATCCTCCTCGGGGACCCCTTCTCCGGATGGTCTTTTTTTGATATATAAGCATTTATAAATGACAAAAAAAGCAACAAAATAATAATAATAATGCAGTAAAGAGTGTTTTTGATCCTTTGTGTGTGTGTGTGTGTGTGTGTGCGGGGGTAGTCAGATAGCTATCATAGCTCAGTATATGTGTTACATAGATGTTCAGAGGCGGAGGCAGTCGACAGGAAGCCTTGGAGGACACACCTATGTACCTAGTTTTCGTACTTTTGTTAGCTCTTGTCAGTAAGCAAAGCAATATCGACAATCTTAAATTCTGGTATTTATAACCCTTGTGAGATTCGAACCCTGGTCATATATGTGTAACAACAGACGACAGGGGCCAGCCAAACAGATCGTTTATTAAGGAAATCAACAGATATTTATATATTTTCATGTACATTATTATAGATTATTGTTTGCAGAAAAACACAATCTTTAATTGGTTGTTTCTCACTGAAAGTTCAGTTTGCATCTCTTTGTGACTGTTTCCTGCATGTCAGAACATCTATATGCTGACTGTATCATCCTACGCAAAGTCTTCTGTGATTGGCTGTTGAATCAGTCTTTGTTCATATTTTCTCACTACCAACATTGGGAACATAAACATTGACGTAAATTACTGTCTTCGAATTTTGGCTAGTAGCCAGCTCTCACCACATATGTAGTGCAGAGATGTTTATCGCTGAGCTGTTTGGGCTGTTCAAGTCAGTGGCGAGCTAGATGAGTTTGTTCCTCAGAAAATTGACCAGTTAATACAACATCCACTGGACAAACAGTGACAGTTGGTTCATCCTAGTTTGGAACGTGGAACCTTTCGGTTACAAGGCAAGCTCGTTGACTATTCAGTCACTGGGACCCGATTTCATGCCTTTATGAATTCCAACTTCTATCGATTCGTGATTTCAATGCGACCATTGCCCATTGTTATCGTTGGGTTAGTATTTGTTCTCATTCGTGACTTGATGAACCCCACTGATCACAACTTTCCACGCGAACTTCAGGCACCTGCATCCTCTATAGCCAGTCAACTAGCAAGTGTCAGATTCATGGGCCGTTTGATAGAGTCCCAGTGGCTGAATGGTTTACAAGCTTGCCCTGTAGTGAGTTAGGTCTTAGTTTTGAACTCCAGTGGCTGCGTACTGATGAAGAGTCCCAAACTAGGGAGAAGAAGCAGCTCTCTAGTAGTCCCTGGTTTTCCATTGGTTCTGTGACTGACGTCAGCTGGTGGTCAAACATGTGACAAATCAAATCTCCACGTAGTGTGGTGAGTGCTGTCTACAAGACAAAATTGTAGACAACTAATGACGTCAGTATTTACGTCCCAAATCGGGGTCATGAGAAAAAAACAAGAAGAAAGCCTTACTGTGAGGAACTTAATAACCAATCACAGCAGACTTAGCTTGGGCGGATACGATTCGCAGATATATTACTGGACTACCTAAGAAACGGCCACTAAAAGACGACAGAATAACCTTCAGCAGGAAAATAAACAATCAGATGTTTCCTCTCTGTGCACTGAAGACACACATGATGAAGAAGAAAGAAAGTTGACGCAAACTCTGGTTGATAACAATTATCCAGACAAGTTCATCAGGAGATATAAAGTAGTCAGTGGAACACCAAGACCCACTCTCCAATTCGCCCCTAAGAAAGACGTGTACATCAAGTTACCTTCCCTATATGGGGCATCATAGCGGCTTGATAACTAGACAAAGACTGAACGCTGCTGTAGTTAAAAAAAGACTTTTTATGCAGCTAATATCATAAGAATAGAGAATATGAAGCCAATATATCCATCCATCTAAGCCGTTTTAACGTGCGAAAAATCATGTCATATCCCACTGTATTTACCAATTTGGATGTACGTGTGGAAACACATACGTAGGGAGGACTCATCGATCTCTGCAAGTAAGGACTGACTTCACAGCATATTCCTAAATGGCTTGAGAGGCAAAGGGAATCTTCAGAACCACCCATTAGTGGTGAGAACAGGAGACCTAGCTCTTCTATTTCGAAACATATTATAGAGACGGGACATAAAATTGACGTTAACAGATCTTTTAAACCTATCTATAAGGCATGTTTGGGGCGCATCCTAGTTGGCAATTAGAAAGTTTAAACCACCTTTATGCTTTCATCAAGAACAATTCGTCATCACATTGAAGAAGCTAGAAAACAACTCAGTGATTGCACTGCATTGGATAGAAACGGGACACAAAATCGACTTTGATATGACTAAGGTTTTACAGAAAGGTTTTGGTTCATGTAAAGAAAGATTGACTGCAGAAGCCCTACATATATGGGTAAATCCCAACGGTTTGAAGAGACGTGAAGGTGTGATGTTAGCTGATGCATGGCAAATTCTCACTAATAAATAAAATTGGATATGTATGAACAAGTAGTCACACTTGGTCAAATTCCCGATTGTCTACGTCTTCTTGTGGAGAGACTAACAAATGTTTTATGACTGTTCACACACATACACATACACGCACACCATTATATACTGCATATACACATATATTTGAACAAAAGTAGACTAATTTTGAAATTATGAGGTCAAATTTTGACCATAGTTCATAAAATTTCGTTTATTATACCTGTTTCATGATTTATATGACAGGACAAACAATTTTAAAAACAACCATGCAGGTTCCTGCATATAAACCTCTGTTATGTTAATTTCGATTAATGTCCCTGAAGAAGTTCGAACCAGATTGCCGAACACAGGAAACGTTGGAATTAATCATTTCAATGTCGTTGGGATTCTACAAATATAATTTTTTTTGCAAATATCTACTTCTCACTCAGCGCTCAATTATTTTGCGACTATCTGGTCAAATCTTGATCACAGTTCAGTAGTTGTAGTTTGCCTATCCATCAAAATGCCTTCAAAGGAAATTTTCTGTTACCCAATATGATATACATCTGAAAAACTCTACAGAAGACTATTTCATCTAACGAAATCCAGTGACTAATCCATCACCCACACTACTAGAGGAAAAAAATGAAGTTTAAAAACACAATCAATAATCTATGGTATTCGAACATGCGAAAAATCATGTCACATCCCACTGTATTTAACAATTTGAATGTACGTGTGAAAAGACATACGTAGGGAGGACTCATCGATCTCTGCAAGTAAGGACTGACTTCATAGCATATTTCTAAATGCCTCCAGAAACAAATAGAATCTTCAGAACCCATTAATGGTGAGAACAGACGAAGATTTAGCTCCTCTATTGAGAAACATATTTTAGAGGAGACAGGACATAGAATTGACGTTAACAGATCTTTTAAACCTATCTATAAAACGTGTTTTTGGCGTATCCTTAAGTTTGTGAAGTCTCTAACAATTAGAAAGTTCAAACCACCTCTGTGCGTTCAAAAAGAATTCATCACCACAATAAACCTTTCTTGGTAAATTTTGTGTTGATACCAGCCAGAGTAGATGTACTATTACCTCTGTTATTTAGTTTAGTGGTCTTCATTGTTATTTTGACCTTCAGTTCCTTTAACTTGACCTAAGTCTTTTCTATCACCTCTTAACTCTATTATTTATTATTATTATTATATCCTTTAGTACCTAAAGGAACATAGGGCTTCAGCTGTGCACCTCCATTGCCTTCTCTTTTCTGCCAACTTTTTCACCTCGCTCCAAGTCTGTCCACATGCTTTCATCTCCTCCTCACATGACCTTCTCCAAGTCACCCTCGCATTGACGACCAAGTCGCCGCTTCTCTTTCGGGTTCCACTCGAGGGCTTGTCTAGTGATGTCACTTGATGGTTTGTTTCCTCAGAGTATGGCCAGCCAATCCATCTCCATTTCTTCCAGCCTATTTGTCTCACAATCGGTTCCTGGTTGGTTCGCTCATTGCCAGAGATCCCTGTTGCTGATCTCTTTTGGCCGGCCATCTGATCTTGAGTAGGATTGAGTGAAGACAGCTGTTGATGAAGGTGTGTAGTTTGTTAGAAGTGCACTTCATGACGCACCAAGTTTCTGATCCGTATACTAGCACTGACTGACTTCACAATGGAGTTGGAAATCCGGATGTTATTTTTGATGCTGAGTGCTGTTGATCTCCACACAGACTTGAGAGTAATGAAAGCTTGTCTTGCTTTTCCGATTCTGGCTTTGATATCCTGATCAGTTTCGTCCGCCTGTAGTTGAAACGATGCTTACCAGGTAGGTGGATAGGTGAAGGAGGCTGTTTCTTTCAGGTTCATCCGATTTATACTGATTGTTGTTGCTGTTGGTGTTGGCCAGGAATCTTCATCACCTACCTCTGTTTTCTCTATGTTCACCTTAAGTGAAGTCCTATCTTTTATGCTTCTTGTGAGAACTTGTTGCTTTTCACTTGCATATCTTCCAGTTTGTGGGAAATCAGACATATATCATCGGCGAAGTCCAGATGCTCCAAGTTTTTTGTGTGAGTCCATTTTATGCCTGTTTCCTCATTGCCGGTTGTCTGTCGCATTATCCAATCTACTGCACTTAGGAAGATCATTGGCGATAGTAGACAGCCTTGCTTCACTCCCGTCCTCACTTCGAAGGATTCCGTAAGTTTCCCGTTGTAGATTTCTTGGCATGCAGCATTGTCGTGTAACTGTTGGATGAGATGTATAATTTTCGATGGGACCCCGCAGTAGTGAAGTAGTTGTCAAATCACCTCTCGATCGACGCTGTCGAAGGCCTTTTCAAAGCCGATGGAGTTGAGATAGAGAGGTGACTGCCATTTCAAGCTTTGTTCAATAATGATCCGTAGAGTGGCGATTTGATCAATACATGACTTGTTTCTCCTGAATCCGGCCTGTTCCGGTCGAAGTTTTTCATCTAGTGCTTGTTTGATTCTCTCCAGGATGATGCGGCTTAGTATTTTGCTTGGAATGGACAGGAGCATAATTCCGCGCCCCTAATTTCTATTAATTTCATATAATTTCTTATGACAAGTTTCGTGTGTGTGATCAGATTGTTCGAAATGTGTTTCGCAAAAACATTACACGATTCAGACAAATTAGGTCTTCTTATTGCTTTGTCTAAATTCATTAAGGGAACTAGTTGTTTTA